AACGGCAATGCTAAGTGCGGCCTGCCAAGTGCCCGCGGCCCAATCTGAAGTGGGTACAGGCTGTGGCAGGAGCCATTGGCACTGGCTGAAGTGAAGGCTGGCGGCATAGCTATTATTACGCGATATGCCAAGGCAACGACAGCCCTGCCAGGTCCGCCATGCCGCCATGACGTTGACTGCGACAATGACAGAGGCAACGGCAACGGCAACGGCAGCGACAGCACAAAAAAAAAATCAATCAAGCGCCAGACTTTGACATTGCAGTCAGTATGGTAAGAAAAAAATGGACGTTTCGCCGATCGGAGCTGCGAAAATGCGAGGCAAACTGGGGGGCAGAGTGCCCTGCCTGCTGCTCTGCCTTTCGCCGAGTCTATTTACAGGATCAGGCTCAGCCGCGTAGAGTGATTTTTCTGTGCCACAAGCAGCAGCAGCTTGCCTTTGGCTGTGCCACAGCACAGCTAAGTCTTTGGGAAAGGAACAGCTTTGGGAGTAGGGAAACCTTTGGGGCAGTGCAGAAGTGCTAAATCTTTGGAGAAGGCAAACCACAATCAATGGTTTCGGTTTTGGGACATCTTCTGGCAATGTTTTACACGGAAAGTTTCCTCTTAAAGAAGTAGTTTTTTATCTGAGAAATGTCTAACAATAGCTGGCAATATGCAGACACCTACAAGCTCATCTAATTGTGGTTAAAATCATTGAAATTATCCAAAAATTGTCATGCAACTTCTGGCTCTTCTGTCTCTTCTGTCTGTTCCTTCATCCAAATAACATTATCCCAGCTTTTGTCATTTTTAAACCTCTTCTGGGGGCTGCATAGTCCTGTCCTCATTGTTGTCATTGCATTTCATGGCCGCCAAAGAATCCGTTCAGTCTCTATCGGGGCAGGGGGGCTAATGAAATGCATCAGACTGACGGCGTATCAATAACGCAAATGAAGCACTTTCCCATGGAGCAGCCTTAGCTGGGTGGGGGAGGTGCACTAATAAAGTTAACATGGCAAAACAGCTACGGCTACGGCAATGATGTGAACTTTATGCGCAAGCTAAATGTCGTTTGATGCAGGCGAACTCTGGCAGGAGCAGCAGCAGGGGCAGGAGCAGGAGCAGGGACTGCCACGACGAAGGCACGCTTCAACGGCTGCGTCCAGCTAAAAGCTTTTGGCAAAAAAATGCAGCAACAACTAAAAAAATAAACAGCGCTCACGAATAGTGGAATAGATGCACAGGTAGGAGGGGTTACAGGTTGCCAGGGGCAGGGGTTACAGCTATTGGTAAAAGGTTTCCAGCCAAGTGAACCGTGCACTTGGTACAGTAAAAAGCGCTGCATAGTGAAGCGCGCTGGCAGGCAACGACTCAAGCATA